GTTGGGGTCGCCATCGAGGCGGCAGTTTATCAGTCTTTATAGAGGCCTGTCTAAGAAGTTTTCCCCGCAGCAAAACGATCACTCCGCAGGTAAACGAGGATCACGAGCAACCTTGGTGGATAATAACAGCTATTTATCTTTAGCTGCTGTGGTGCCGTTGACTGCATCACTGTGTGTATGATTCTCACAATGACTCTGGAAGAAGTGTTGTAAGGTCACGTGCCTCAACGGCAGACCCTCATCAGTCAGTTAATTGGTCCCCGATCAATTAAACAGCCGCAGTCTGCTGTGAGTCAAGCGGTGGATCACCTTGATATAACAGAATGCAGGCAATCAGCCCCAGGCAGAGAGGAGCTAGGAGACGTCTACAAACATACCATCTGCTGCATACAGTCTCCACTGCCATCACAGGGTGAAAAGATGTTTGCATATTGACATACCTGAGCACTTCTGGGATGGAAGTCCAATTCCCTCAACGTTAGTTAAAATCATTAGAGATGATTGTGTTTAAAGCTTCGACAATGGCTTAAACACACCGCGATATGGCATCTTTACCTCCCTAATGTGAAACACATTGTTGGAGGGTGGCATATCAGCATGAAGGATCATTCTAAATTGCTAACCAATTACAATAAAGACAGAGAGGCTGTTTCATTTAATAGGAGGGGCATAAAAGTGGGATTACTTGCCACTTAAGATGGTAATTCATGTCAGGCTCCTCAGGCTTGACGTAGGCAGCATATGTGAAGTTTGCCACTAAACCAGAGACATACAGGAAATCACACAGCCAAAGTTAATGATACAGATGCTGAAAAATGTACAACAAAAATCCTTAATTTAGCCCCCACAGTATGTGCAGTGCAACCCAAAGACATTTTAATGTAAAGTGCTATTTTTGGACAGCTAGCGGCATGGTTTCAGAGGCCACAGTGTCAGTATGTCTGTCTGTAAATCAGTCCACCACTTTATTCCAGACTGAAATATATATTGTACAGATACCATGAAATTTGGTACAGACATTCATGGTCCCCTGATTATGAACAAATTAAGCACAGCGTTTGTTCAAGCAGGCCACGAATTCAAGCTCACCTCTCAATTTCAGCTACATCAGCTAATCACAGCTAGTCGTAAACACACATCCTCTAAGGCTTCCTATTGGAAAACTATCCACAGTCAGCTGACAGCTCGGCTGATTCCCTCAAGCATCCAATTGGCAAATATCATTCAGGGCGCCTTATTTAAGCTGCTTCAGCCTGCCTATCTTTGCTGCTTTCTCTGCAAGCTGTTTTGACCCTCGGGGGGTCTCTGCTGCCGCTCTCCTTGTCTTAAACGTTTCCATGTATGCATATGTAAGGGCCTTAAGGTTTTCCACGTAGGCACATGAAAGGCCAAGGAGGTCCCAGAACAGAGCCATACCGCCAAATGTAACATTCTGCGTTGGAAATAGAAGTTATTTTGACAAAAGTGGTCCTGACTGAACTATCTTTGGTGACTTTCCTCTAGTGCCACCATCCAGTAAAAATGTGTATTTGTTTAATACTTCAGGAAACACAGGCTTGGATTCAAATGTTGACAAAGCAAGCACAGGATGACTTCAGTGACTTAAATGTGATGCAGGTAACAGACAGGAAGGCAGACACAGGTCCAGGTCCTGGCAAAGCAAAAGCAAAAACCAACAAGGCAAGAAGGATGAACTGACAGTTAAAGGGAGAGGATTCATTAAGTGTCTGCAAGGCTGGTGAGGGAGAGTGGAAACGTGAGCAAGTGGGCAGGGAAGGTCAGGTGACTTGGAATAGAGGCAAAGGGGTTATTGCAGGGCAGGAGGGAGTGAGACGACTGAGACAGGAGAAAAAGTCAGAGGGCATCTGGTGGAAAGGACGAGAACTGGCAAGTGGGAATGTGGCTGTAGGAAAGGACGGAGGGGCAGATTGTTTTTATATTAGGTACGGCTGTTTTATATTCTGTGACAGTTATCCAGGAAGTTAAAATGCCCTATATTTCATAGGGTCTATATAAAGAAAGATAAAAAAAAAAACTAATAATATGTTGTTTGACATGTTTAACAACATTTTATATATATTTGTCAGATAGACCATTAATTATCTCATAATAGCTCATATAGTGGATGTCACTCAAGTTGATATAGGACTTTAGTGTCACGTTATAATAATAAGGAAGAAATCTTCAAATTGAACAGCCAAAAGGACAGTACATTGATTGACGAACATTGAAATTCTCTGAGTAGGTACAGCCCTACTGTTTATTTGCATATACAGCAGGGAAGTGAGATCTGATCACAAGTGGTCACTCAAGACGCGTTCTAATTCCAGGTGTAAGCTGTCTACATGTGATTGGATCACCCAAGACACATGTTAATACCAGGTCTAAACAGGCTCCTAGAGTGCAAACGTGGCCACAGTTTGTTTGGTAAGTAAGTAAGGTTTTCGTTCTGATTTTACTTTGCTTTGTAGTTCAGAGCCCTTTATGAGATATTGGTCCATTTGTCTACCTATGTCTTACATGTTGAGTTTATTGGCAGACTAGAAGCAATACCAAATCTAGATTAATAGCTCATTTATCCTTTTAGATGATGCCACAATAGTTCAGTCCACAGATAATAACCCAGACTTTTACTGTAAAAGGTTAGCCCCTGAGCCAGTTTCACAAAATGATGTAGTATAATCATATGAGACATACTGCAATTTTCATTTTCTGCAAAATAAACAAATCTTATGAGAATAAAATAAGGGATATATTGCATATGATCCCTCATGTTTTTTTTTTTAGGGGCATTTAGGGGTTTACATTGAGGGTATATACACTACAACATGTGCAGACTTTGACTTAATCCACACGGCACAGGCCATGTATTGTGTTTTCATTCCACTTCCATAGTTCTCATTCTTATCCTCTCGTCTTTCTCTGACACACTTGCACATGTACACATGCACTAACAAGACGAAGCTTGTCAGCATGGAAAATAACTTATTACAGTCTGCCATCCAAGGATCTGATTACACCCCGCTTGGACAGAGACGGTGTAAATCAATCAAATGTGCAGCAGTCACTTAGAGCATTGGTCCAACTGACTTTTATTTAAACTTTTTATATCAGAGAAAAGACACGAGTACACATTTTAATTGCAGTCTGATGGGATGAAATTGGTAGTGCCTGAGGAGCTACAAAGAGATGTAACATTTTTCTGAGATTAATTGAAACCATGGAGGGACAGAGGACGGGAGAGGGGATGGCGCAGTTGACAGTGCGTTGATGATATGCATTAGTTCTCAAGCAGTCTTTCGGCATTAGCATACATTATCACATTGCACACACAACTGTACATCATGTAAGACAGCAGCAGCATCATACAACCCCTCAAGGGCATCATTTTCCTTTCACCTTTGGGGGAGGCATGGGAAGCAGTTGTCATCTGCACCATGAAGGCTGGTGTGTTCATAATTGGATGCTGCTCATGTGCCTAATAAACCACTGTAACCCTGAGGCACTTAACACGATGTTCTGAGCTGAACAGTACACTGATTTTAAAAAGGGGCCTGTTAGCTGTAATTATGATACACACAGTAGCAGTGGTCATGTTCAGAAGTTATTTATTTCAATAAGAATACACATGTTAGAAACCTCAGTATAACACAATATAGTTTAGCAGCAGCAAATCCTCCAAACTGAAAGAAATTGAGCACCTTGCTTTTTTAACTGAATATTATAACTAAGGTTAAGCGTGTACTTAACTGCTCGTAAATATAGCAAATTTTAATTTAAAAAAAACAACTTGTTCTGTTAATAGTTCTCTTACTCTTCTGATCAAAAATAAGCTCTGAATCTCAATTCTGAGAAGGCTGTTCAATAAATATACACCGATCAGGCATAACGTTATGACCACTGACTGGTGGAGTGAATGAATGAATGAATGAATGAATAAATGAATGAATGAACACTGATTATCTGGTTTTCACTCATGTCAGTGGGTGGGATATATCTGGCAGCAAGTGAACATTTTGTCCTCAAAGTTGATGTGTTAGAAGCAGGAAAAATGGGCAGCGTGAGGATTTGAGCGACTTTGACAAGGGCCAAACTGTGATAGCTAGACAACTGGGTTAGAGCTTCTCCAAAACTGCAGCTCTTGTGGGGTGTTCTGGATCTGCAGTGGTCAGTACTGATCAAAATTGGTCCAAGGAAGGAAAAGCAGTACTGGTCCCTACGTTACATTATATTAAGAGAGTAGAGTTTTGCAACATCAGTTGTTGGAACCTTTAATGTTAATAGGATAACCTGTCAGGGCTAGTTGACTGAACCCAGGAGCAGACACACAGACAAGATGGACGGTTTAGGGGTCTTTATTCCACACACACACACACACACACAGGGGGGTTGAGGGGCGGCCACGGCAGGAACAGGCAGGTGAAATGGCAAGAGAGACCGCACTCTAAAAAATCATGCAAGGGGGTAGTAATTCCAGCTTAAAATAAACATGCAATTCTAGTATACACATTTAAGTTTGCTACATCTACTTAATTCAGCAAATCAAACCAACTCGAAAATTTTAAAAAAATCTTTACTTATTTTTAAATGTAATTTGAATGCACAATGTTGCGTCAGCTCAACAAGTCACAATATTGAGCTGGCTCAACTAAAATATCTATCTTGTGAGCACTTCCCTGAGTCTTACTGAAATGACTGGTTTTCAGTGTGTCCAGTCTTGCATATTTACTCTGTAGCCCTACATTACACATCGTATTTTAGATGCATAGGCCTTTATTTTGGCTATTTATACCTACAATTTCAGTTTTTCATTACATTTTCAAATGCTTTCTCAATTTAAAAGAGAAAAAAATGTTTTGATATGCAAAATAAAACAGACTATTTTTTAAAAAAAAAGCTATTTATACTAGCTTCTGTTTTTTCTTGCTGTTTAAAATGTTTTCTCAATCTAAATATTTAGTTTATATTATTTTCACTAACAATGACCACGCCATCGAATGTATGAAATAAGAAAAGTTTATTGCACGTAATGAACAAATGTGAACCAATGTGGTATACTGAGGGATGAGGGGTGAAGGGATTAGGGATGAAGTGATGAGGGATAAAGGTAGGTTCAGGGGATGAGGGGTGGAGGTAGGTACGAGGGATGAGGGATGGATGGAGGTCGGAGGAATGAAGATCGGGTGGCGGATCGATGAATGAATGGAGGGGTTCGGCGCGATGTAAGAGGGAACTGAGTGGGTTGCGAGACACTGAGTGGGGGAACTGTCTTTTTGGATCTCTTGTAGAGAGCCCCAGTGGTTCCTGTATTTGGATAAGAGAGGGAGAGAAAAAGAAAGGGTTTGGGTGGGAGGGATGTGGAAAATGAGTCAAGGAGGGAGTGAACGGATAAGGTGTGCTTAAGTAAGTTTGAGCGGAAATGAGATGATTGCAGGGCGTGGTCTTTGTTCCCGAACCTAGTTATAAAACATCATTTAACAATATTTGAATGTATCTAACCACTAGATGTGTTTTGAGTTTCCACCGCAGACAATAACCTTAAATGTAGATGGGGTTGTTCAGAAGTAATCATTTCACTTTGCCAGCAGTTTGGAAACAACAGATAAAACCTTTCCTGGTTTCGAGAGATTGTTTTTAACAATGCGATGCCACCGATAAACGCGAGCCGCCTGCAAACGTATTTATTTACCGCACGCTATTATTTTGAAAAAACGTCATAACATCAACAAGAGGTTCTGACATCCGGGACTTTTCACATGTTGATATCCATGGGTTAATGTCGACGGAAAGGTGAGTACTGAGAAATATAATATGTTGCCGTATTGGTAAATATTGATGATTTCAAGGCAGAGCTTTTACACAGGTATGTCAATCCTGTAAATGAACTTAATTGAAGCAAATCTAGCCCACCTCTTTCTGAAATTACAAAGCCTATTTAATGTGCCCAACAGGTGTATTGATGAGGTGGTGGAAGAGCTAAACTTTATTTCTGGCTCAGCTTCAGGTCCTATCATTAAACAGATTTTACAGTCATGCTTAGAGAAGCATAATTGTCAGCTAGATGATTCAGTGATCTGTGATTAGCAAACCTAATAAAGCTACCAACTCTTTTTCTTTTCTTCTTTTATTAAATGATTAAAGTGTTGTGGTCAGGATGCTCCTTTTCTCACAGTCTTTTTACCATCTAGTGGTAGTGACATGAAATGGCAGATGTCACAGCCAATAACATGAAACCCCCAGACAATAGTAGACAAGGTATTAAATCTCATTATGATCAATTGCATATGTAGTTTGATAATGGTCTACAAATTTGAAAAATTTTAGCAAGAGAAATAAGCCATGATGCTGCTAATCAGAAAACTACTTGTTTGATTTTCTTCTTCTTATGCAATACCTTTTCAGGGAATATTTCCTGTGCTGAAAGAATGCTGAATGCAATATACAACAGGGACGTGCAGTTGCCTGATGGTGATGCTGATGTTCCTGGTAAGTTAATCAGGTTCTAGTAATCTTAAATAGCTAAGAAAAATTCTGTTTGTTACAGATGCCCAAACGTCTCATCCGAATGCAGCTGCCACAATTCACCTCATACTTAAGGACCATGTGACTGACAAGCTGGAGTTGCCGGGTGGAATTCCTGGGACAGTGGATGAGCTTCAGTCTATTGTACAACAGAAACACAGGTTGGAGCTGGGGAAGTTTACCTTGCATTACAAGGATGCTGATTTTGGAGGGGAGTTTTTTTTCCCCTCTTACCTCAACAAGAGATCTCAAGCATAAAGACACAATTAAGGTTGTTCATATTGTTGAACTCGGCTCACTCAACAAGGTTGTAACTGACCTTGATAGCTTCAACACAAGTGCATCCAGCAGTACTTCATCTGAATCCTGTCATACAGTGATGCTGTCATCACCTGAATACAGTAATCGGCGTTCTCAGTGTTGGCCTTCTGAATTTCCAATTCCATGCTTCCGCAATGACACAGAGCTTGTGCTAGCAGCAGGTAATGAAGCTTTCAACAAAGATGGAAGTCCACTCAGCTCTACTGCCATCCTTCCAGACGTCCTGGAGACATTGGCTGAAAGCATCTTTGAGTATGTTGCCTATCCTACATCTGCACAGTTTGCCGATGTAGCAGAAGCATTGATTCGTAAACATCCTTGTCTGAAAGAAACAGGGTCATACAATGGATGTTACGGATGGCAACAAAGACTCAAATTTAAAATGGGCAAATATAGAACCAAACTTAGAGGGCTTGGGTGCCCTGAGCTTGATGTGAATGCTCTAAAAAAAAAAAAAAAAAAAAAAAGAAGCGAGCAAATGAAAAAAACGCCTGCCAAGAATGTGAAGAAGCCACGGAAGGGTGAGGCTAACTACTTGCCACCTCATCCACAGGGAGAAACACAAGAAAGTTTGGAACGTGAAAGACTGGAGCTCCTAAGCGAAGTGAAGAAGAGGAATAATTCCCAGATCAATGAGAAAAAGGAAAGGACATTGTCTATTCGCAGACAGGAAGTTGTCACCCTGTCCCCACCTGTCAGTGACTTGAAGGAACGTTGGCCTGCTCTTTTTCTTCCAGCACAGGTAAATGTTTTTTGTTGTTGTTTAATAAAAGTTGGCAGGAGTATGGTTTTAACTGAATGAAAGTTTAATTCTGACAACTCTTTGGCATTTCAAAAGGTGTTCCTAAAATTAGATGGTCAGAAGACCACCCCAAAAGTCACATCGCTTAAGCAGAAGCTGTCAGCAATCTTTGAACCTCGTTGCTGAACATCAAACATAGTTCTCACTTGTACTGTGATGAACTTGTGTGTGTTTAACATTTTCACTTCACTGAAACTTCTCTTCAATGCTGGAGTTTGATTTAAAGTGATTTCAAGGTTCCCCATGTTTTGTAGCAATGTTGTTGCAATATAACCATCTTACAAATCATTTGAAAATGTCCTGGGTCCGAGTCTGAGTTCATCAAAGACTTTAATATGCTGGAGTGTTAGCTCAAGAGTTAATTTTTAGCTCATTTCACATTGATAAAATAATCTCCAAAATTATTTTGGGATACATTTTGTTTTAATTAAATTGGTAAGTATACCTTGGTTTTTGCAGACCGAGACTGTAAAAAGAAGCTGTCTTGACATTTGTTTATTAAAATGTTGAATTGTGAAATGTGGTTCTTCTTTTTTATTTCCCCTGACTTAAGTAAATCAAGGTATTAATACTAAAGAAGGTATGGTAACTATTTGCATGGACATTTCTGAGTAGAAAAAGAAAAAAATTAAGTTAGAGCAACTTTATTTGAATGATGAGACAACTTAATATTTCAATGCATATTGAATTAATATTAAGTAGGTATTACTTAATTTAGCTATTGGATATAGAAGAAAAACATGTTTATTGTACTTAATTTAATGGTGTAACTAACACAGGCATTAAGTACAGCCAATGTGAAAATTCAAATTGTACCCACTGAATATCAAGTAGATTTAACTTAATATAGCTTTCAGTGTATTTAATGATTTATGTTGTTGTAATAGTGATATGCTAGTCACAGTTACTTAATAACACTGAAGTTGGGACAACTTAAAAAGATCCATGCAAATAGTTAACATACCTTTTTGAGTAGACCCAGTACATTATTTTTTAGAGTGCAGAGACACAGAGGCACAGGAGAGCTGACTCTGGAAATTGAACTGCACACGAGGGTTCCTGGAGCACAGGAGAGAAATGGTTAGACGGAGGAGCTGGTGCAGGAAGATCACGAGTGGACTTGTAGTAGAAAGTTAAATACTGAAAGGATCCACGAAAGTTACCACCAAGTTGGCTGAAACAATCTGGCGAGGAATGAAAGGATGACCGGGGTTCTTGAGGGCTGAGACTGATGAACAGATTGAGAGCAGGTGACACAGCACACAGGTGAGGTGAAGGGAGGCCGCACCCACATCAGACATACAGGGAAGGAGGAGGAGCAAAGGGAGCATGAGGGGAGCAGAGCCATGACATAACCAGGGACAAAATGTTCTGTCCAGCAACCAAGAAACTGTATCAATCTGTTGTGACTGAAGGTTTGGACCACATTCAGACAGCCTCTCCAGCATGAACAAAATTTCCACCAACAACTTCAAAAGTGTCATGAACAATGACTCTGTGCTGTCAGTGCTGATAATTGAAGTACATCTCTTAACCATGTGGTTTTTATACTGTCATATTGTTTTGCTCACATAATGTCATGATTCTGTCACGATGTGATTTACTATGTTGCAAAGCTTTTGTGAAAATCTTTTGCACAAAATGTAATTGTAACTGTGGTTTTATTGGCTAAATCACAAATGCCTTGCATGAATAAACTGGTTTGCCAAGAAAATCACATAGGAAAATTTAAAGTGAGTCTTGCATGAGGATCTTAATATAACAGGTGCAGCAGCTTCTCACAAAAACATAATGACCTAATGAATCAGTCCCTCTCTTAATTACAACATTGTTGAAATAAAATGATTTCCCATTATCTTTTTGTAATGATTAAAGAGAGCTTAAAAAAAAAAGTCATTGTCTCTGTGTTACAGAACAGAAGAAAAAATAATCTCTCCATCTGTTGGCACCCCACAGAACAGCTGGATAGATGACTATTTGAACAAGTGTTCAAACAACAAATCTGTTTTCTAGGAGACAATTCCTGCAGCTGTATCTCCTTCCTTAGACCACATTAAGCTGCAATAGGAGGAGGAACTGTGATCACAATTATCAACACTGTCTTAGCAGTTAACAATTGGCCTGGTCCAGTCACCAACAATATGCATTTACTAAAGTTTACAGTGCTTCATACTCTCCCCTGGTTGTAGCTCGCAATGCATTAGAGGACTTTTGCATGAAGTTGAGTGTTTCTCAACCTTTCAAAAGGTCTTATTCTTAATCAATACAGCAGCCTATCACTGTTCCAGCTAAGCTTTTGAATTTGTGAGCATTATTAGCAGCTCTTTCAGCTAACAATGCTAACGTGTTGATATTTTGTAGGTATAATGTTTACCATGCTCACCAAAGGTCAGGGGGATCATCAAAAGTAGAAAAATGTATCCTCTGGGGACCATGATTGTTTGTCCAAATTTTGTCGATCCTTACAGAACACATTTCGGCTGGTCCAAAATGGTGGACCAATTAACCAAGCCACCTATAGTCACACTTATTGACCAACCGAGACCAACATGGTCATCCGAAGAGCCTTGGTGCTAGCATGGCTAAAAAAAGACTGTAACAACGTCTCCTAAACGACAGTCGGAGGATGTAATATAGCACACCTCAAACTCACACTTCTAAAGCATTCTACTCAAGGCTCAACCAGAACGTTTTATAAGGTCTGGCAACCTTTTCTGTCTTATTGAACAAATCCCCATTAATGTGCTTAATGTAACAGTCTCACCCTTTTCTATCTTTTCTGTTACCTTTTTTATTATTCTTTATTATTATTATTATAAATTAGTTATGTATGGGACACATGTAGACCAGTGTTAATGTTTTTATATGCATAACAGTAAGTGAATCTGTGCATGGTTTGCTGTGAAAAACATTTAAATGATATCTCCATCAGCTGTCCCAGAACTGTGCAACATATCAACCTATGAGTCATGTTCTAATGCAAAACAGACATTCAATACCGAAGTGGTAATTATCAGTTAATCTCCTGCTGACTGACGTAGAACAAACTTGTCACCTCCCTTACTCCCTCTAAATAAAGTCATCAGCACAACTGACAGGCTGGGTGTGACACACATCTTAACTTTGTATGGTAGCAAGCATTTAGCTCTCTCACTAAGCCAAGTCTCCTTTACTTCGATTCCATAAATTATCCACTGGAGACCTCTCTGACAGTGAGGTCAGTCGGGGTGAGCATTCAAATCAATACAGGTGCACTCTTAAATTTGACCCCATCCTCAAGCAGGGAGTGGAAACACAAAGGGAATGGTAATGACACTACACTCAATACAACACGACTTATAGACACTGATAACAGGACATGGGTATACACACAAAGTACTCACAAAGTGGCATTGATCTTGGATTTTTAGTACTAAGGGTGTAGAACTGATGTCAGCTCCTGATTTCCCAAAGCAACACATTCTCAAGTTCCGTCAGACAACTCACGTTCGAAATGTTTATTACAACAGTAAAGCATATTTAGATCCAACCTCATCACTCCCCGCAGATATGTTTACATAGAGATATTGGGGAGTGATGAGCAAATACGTTAAACCCTAGCCGGAGCCTACAGGTGGATGCTGGGGTGGTGGTGGGGCTTACAGAGCGGCAGGCAGCAATACGGATGCAGGGCAACAACAAGGGCATTGAGAGCTGGGAAAATGTGCAGTTTAAATAGACCGCCAGATTGGTTAGTGATTATGGAATAAGGCATGTCGTGTGTATAGCAGTGCAGCTCGAGTTGCCTGCCTGAACTAGCTCGCAGGCTTCGCTCCATTTAAGTCAAGTCGTCAAATACTGCTGCTTGGTTAGTGGCCCACCGCTTTAGAATATGAGAGCCCGTTCTTATTCCCAGGGTGTCAAATACCGACGTTTTGTCACGCCCTTTGACGTCTCACCCCTTTAGCATCTTTATGCAATGCGCCATGTTTCAATGTAAACCAATCAGCATCAGGCGACGTAGTATAAAGAGCGTCCACAGTCCACACCTGGAGGGGGAGGGGTGGACATATCTGTCAGATATATAACCTAAACTATGATGTTTTCTCAAATCCAACCTAAAGTATTTTTGGTGCCTCAACCTAATACAACTACAATGGTTTTACAGCATTAAAAGATAAGCGTCCTTTCTAATAGCAGGTGACATGGAATAAAGACTGAGAAAGTCCATATGTGGAGGTGGTGGGGTGGATGGATGGCTCAGACCAACCAGGAGACCACTGTTCACGTCCTGTGTGAAAACCCCAAAACATTTTAAAGAAACATACGTACGTACCACAAGTTAAGACTGTTTCCTAATCCTAAACAAGTAGCCTAATCTAATTAAACTGCAACAGTTTCACATTAACCACACAAGCTTTTTTTTAGCCTAATCGAATGTTGCATATTTATCATCGCTAACTTGACCACAGAGCCCTGAAATGATGCCAGAAGGTCATAAGAGAATCACATTGTGAAGCAGAGGGCCACTCAGCAAGCTGCAGTATTTGACAACTTGGGAGTGAGAAAAAAAGTCAATTCACATTTACAAGACCTCACGGGGAATGTGACTTCTCACTCACTAAACATGGGGTATTACAATCCCCAATTAGGATTTCAATTAAAAAAAACATTTAAAATCAAATCCAAAAAGAAGTGATTTGTCTCGTTTTTTACTTTCCAATCATCCGGGAAGGACAACAAGTTGCATGCTTGTTGCATGCATCTTATTTGCCTGGTTTTTAAGATTCATGAGGTTTCATTTGAAGCATGAAATTCAGGCATAGAATCTGAGAATGATATAAAGCTTGTGTTGTTATTCCTTTTCTGTATTCACTAATAACAGCAAGGATTAAAGAGGATTTATCACAATACTTTTTTCCCATACAGAGATCATCACAGCCATTTCACCACTGCAGACAAATTACATAGTTGGCTCAATGATTAACTTAATGTCAGTGTCATTAGACAGTAAGAAACCAATATCCATCGCCCTATAGAACAGACTTGATTATGATAATGACATAGCATAGTCATGCATGCTACTGTAATTACTGCCGTCCATATAGGTTAGCACTGATGAAGGAATATTTATTGAATGTGAAGCCTGGTGACAGTAAATTGATGGTTATGGACAAGTCCTGAGTTGTTCAGGAGCCAGGCTTTTGTCAATCATTTTAATGAAAGTAATGAGATGCAAAATTGAGTCTAAATAGAGTCTAGATTTATGTACTGCACCATCAGATTTTCATTACTTGAGAAGAAGTTTATTATAATGTCCTGTCATTATGTTCTAACTACTAGACTCAAATGCTTTTGTCTGCCTTTCTTTACACAAACACAAACCCTTAAATACACACACACACAGAGAGAGAGACACACACACCTGCCCTATTAATATAATACTGTTCCTTATTTTGTATGAAATTATAATTGGGCTTCCCCTTCTGCCCTATGGATAGTGGTACTGTCATCCTGGAAGAGACCACTCCCATCAGGATACAAATGTTCCATCCTAGCATAAAGGTGATCACTCAGAACAACATTGAGTCCCCCCCCCAAAGAGCATTACAGAGCTACCTGATCCACTCACTGTATAGGTCAAGCATTCAGGCCTGTACCACTCTCTTGGCGTGTGCCACACATGCATTTGCCCGCTGGAGAATATGATCTCATCCGACCATATCACCTTTTTTTCCGTAGACCAGAGCTTATGGTTTTTGCACCACTGACCCCTCAAATATGCAATTATCTTTGTAATGTGGGGTTTGTGCACTGAAACTCTAAAATGACAAAATCAGAATCAACTGGGCCTGCTCAGCATTTGATAAATGCCACAGAGGCATTTTTTCCACCAAATTAGCACTGGTTCTTCAACCGTGCTATCTAGCAGACCAGCCCGAGTTTCCACCAGTTTTATAGGGAACCATTGTAACTGGATGAGTCATCAACAATGCTCAACGACCTGTAGAATATGACTCGCCTACTTTGGTTCCCAAAGAAAACTGTTTATTAATTCTAGCAGGGAACCAATTTGTTTTTTTTTTTGGTCGAAATGCTTAGAACGGTTTAATACTAGGTGCTAGAATTGGAACATAGCTTGTTTGCTGTTGGTGGAAAATTCCTAACAGCATGATTAGATATTAATTGCTTAATTTTATCATGCAGTGGATCTGTGTGGAAGCATCTGCATTCG